CTGCGTCTTCAGCAAGAATCTTCTTCATACTCTCAAGAACGGCAGCGTGGATGCCCTGTCTAGCTGCAAGCAACCCATTGTTCTGGCTCAGGTCCCTTCCAGCTCCAAAGTCCATATCCTTGCCGTCAAGGTCGGTCACTTTGCCGCCGGCCTCGGTCAAGATAAGTTGAGCTCCAGCATGATCCCAGATGTGCATCATCACATCGTCAGATGAAGGGATACGCAGCTGGAAATCACCGCCGCCAACGAGGAGTGCCGCATAACGGATATGTGATGAGTACAGCTCGATGTTGGGGAATCTAGCCCCGAAAGAGCTTGCGAGTTTGCGGATGAGGTGGTGACGAGATGTCGAGCCACTCGAGTAGTTGATGATCTGAGCTTCAGCAGGGCTTGAGGCTTTGGAGACGCTGTCAAGAGGCTGAGCTGGCTGGAGGCCGCTGAAGTCCATCTTACGAATCGTGGTGCCTTGTCCGCGAACTGCGGTGAGCATAAGACCCAGCCCATCTTTGTCGATGGTCGACTCTGCAACTTTATCATCCACAGGCTTGAGGTTCGCACAGCCCAAAACACCAACGACCTCCTTTCCATCCTCTACCAAAGCTAGGGAGACAGCGTATTGTTCTCCCTTGAGGAACGTAGCTGTTCCATCGATAGGATCCATTACCCAGAAGCGCCCCTTTCTCCCACCTTGGCCACGCCCTCCAAGATCGATCACCTCAAGAAGCTCCTCAACATCTTTGGGGCTCGCAAGGAGAGCTTCGTCGTCTGTGTTGTCGAGGTGGGCGCTAGAGGCAAGTTCCCAGACACGCTGCTTCAAGGCGGGATCTTCTCTAAGGGCGCTGGAATCTTCCTCGCCGACGAAGTTGTCGCTGGGAAATGCCTTGCGGAGGGCACTGATGAGAACAGCTTGAGCGGCAAAGTCAGCAGCGGTGACGGGAGACTCGTCTGCTTTTGAGATGCCGCTGACGGTCGATTGGACTCTTTTTGTGAGGATTGATGCCCGTAGCACGGCGAGCTCTGCGATTTGACGCTCAAGAGTGTAGGATGACATGATGGCGTTGTAGTGTTGGTGTTGGTGATGGTGTTGGTGTTGGTGTTGGTGGAGGTACTAAGATCGTTACTTGGTGAGATGCTGTAGACTGCAGTGCTAGTAAGAAGCAGAGTAATTTATTATGATGTGATTATTCAGGCGATGGATGTGATGCATGAGATTGATTGATTGAGTGAGAGGAGAGGATGAGGGACCAGGCGGTGATTTGGTGTTTCCCCACGGATCCACAGCATATCATGATGCAGTCAATGAGCGTCGTTTATTTGTTTATGTATGAGACATGAGCAGCAGCAAATTATTTGATGACCATTGCAACTACCTTGGTACTAGTGTTGTGAGTTGTGCTCGGACTGTAGATAGCCCAAGATACGAGATGGCCATTCAAGAGGTAATGGGAGCTTGAAACGATGTGTCCATGGTATTCGTAGTCCGTAGTCGGTCATTAATTGTATTTATTTACCTCTCATTTGTCCAAGTCAACCAGCGACTGCAGAACATGTTTTATTGTATCCAAGCATTTATTATATACAATTCCTCTGATACGGCATTTGAGACGCTAGAATGAGCATCATTGGGTCATCATATGCCATTCAAACTCCAGTACGAAAGCGACCCAACAGACAGACAGTGGTAGCTATCATGCCCACCTACCTCAACAGAGATAGGTCAACTATCGCTTGATCGAGTTCGCTAAAGGCTTTTTTGCTGATGCTTCACCTCGATTTTATCGTTGACGCCCTTTGAGCGACGTGGTGATGCTCAGAATACAAGAGTTTATTCATGCTCTCGAATAGCTCATTTCCGCGCAACGACCTCAAGAAGCTTACCTCTTAATGGGCGGGATGGCATGTATTATTCATCGTGACAAACAAAACCGCCTAGATCCACAACATAAATCTCGCCCTTCGCCTTCATCTTGACCTGTTGACAATTTCCAAGGTCACAAGCCAGTGTTGACAGACTGTCAAAGTCATAAACGTGATCACTCCCATCCGTGACTTCTTCTGCTTCCTCAACTGACAATCTCTTGGTCTTGATCTTGAGAACTTGAGATGTGTTTGGATCTGAGGATGTGTACTCGATGTAAAGGTTGAACGAGTTGAACTTCATTCTTTTGGTTGAATCCTGCTCTACTTGTTCCCACGCCGTCGAGCCAAGGCCTGATCTGTGATCGGAATGCTTCGATTCTGGAAAATAAATGCTCGACGGGCGTGTTCGGTATGTCTCTGGAATTGCGGTTTTGCTCAGCTCATACTCAGTCTCCTTGGACGCGATATCATTTGGCTCTCCAACTGAAATAGGGGCTTGTCCTTGGGCTTTTTCGATTTCATTGGCTGACTCCTGTGCCAGAACCATGGTCTCCTGAGAACTTATTGGAGAGTTTCTGGGTATTAATGAGACTTTGGTGCTCTCGGCGTCCAGGTTCTTTGTCGTTATCCTTGTCTTGACTCCAGCTGTAGATCGTCTTGGTTTCGTAGGTTGCAGCAGACATATCGCCCCTAAAACCTCGCTGTTTATCCCAGTATTAGTGAGCGTCATTCCTGGCTGCATATCTTTCGTCTCCCTAGATCTGTTCATGGGGGTTGTAGAAATAGCAGCTAACGATATTGTGCTCTCCAAAGGGTCAACGTTCTTCTCAACCCCCTGTTGATGTATCACGTTGAGTCTTTCCACAGCAATCCGTTCAAGTTCTCTGACAAAGAGTCCTCTAGTCTCATTGAGCCCAGTCCATGGCAACCTCCATCCAGGGTAGATTCTCCCGTGTGTCTTGGGTATCATGTACTGTCCATGCAACGATATGAAGGCGTTGCATAGGAAACACGCATCTTTGTTGGAGGCGATAACTCGGGGAGGCTTCGAGCCCGGGTGACGCTCGAGGTGCCACATGAGTTGAATTTCAGCGTGAATCTTTGGCTCGTTCGTAACTCTCAAGAAGTCCTCCCAGAACCTTTTCGTATTCGTTGCTAGTCTTTGGCCCAAGTTATCCAAGTCCCAGTTAGTGTGATACTCCTTTCTAAGCTTCTTCAAATGCTCTTCCAACTTGAAGACCATGGTTTCTGCTGGTGGCTTCACGAATGCTGTGTCATCAAGTCTGACGGGGATAGTACAAGTACGTCCAAGTATCGAATACGTCCTCGAAAGCTTCACAAGTGTCCAGGCACAGGTGTCATAGTGCGCCAACTTGTGAACGGTATTCAATAAGCAACTGCACAGTTCCGGTTCCATCCTCGGTCCTATATCTTGGAGCAGCATTATTGAAAGAGTTGGTATTCTCGATATATCGGCAAAGGTGCTTATGATCAACTCCAGCTTCTTGTCCAATGCTGATGTGCTGGATGGGTCTTGTGCCAACTTGATTTGAAAATCATCTATTCTGGAAATAAGCACTTGGCTCAGTCTCATATACTCCCTCTTATCGTCATTAATTGTGAATCGAGCCATTTCTTTCTTGACTTTCTCTAACACGGTATTAAAGCCTTGTCTTTGGCCGCGCCTGATGAATCTCGCTCTGCTCATGATTCGGCTTCGACACATAGAGATGACGATGCGGATAATCTGTCTATGAAGTTCCTCACAAGATACTGGCATTTTCATTAGAGAGCTCAGAAGATGCTTGCTGTGTCCCCTGGCCTACCTGGTGTCTCCCGATTAAGTGATCTGAATATCTTGTCAAACCCTTCCTTGACAGTGTCAAGATACGGTGATGAGTTATGACTATGTCTTGCATTGGCTGCAATCATCACCACAACACCAGATTTCCTCTCCTCTACACAGACTGCTGTGACCCTCATAGCGTCATCTCGGATACTCGAAAGAAACGCCAGTGTTGACGTGAGTGACTTCTCATCCTGCAAAGACAGTGCCCTGTTGATGTCTGCTTTGCATATAGGCTCGCAGTCTTGAATGCTGTTCTTTTGGGGCTTGCAGCCAATTCTACCAAGGTAGTAAAGAAGAGCAATGTTTCGAGCACATTCGATCTCGGTGTTAGTCACTGACATGTCTGGCTGAGACTAGCTAGGGTAGGGAGTTGAATAGAATATTGGACATCTCAAAGAAAGCAACTATCAGATATCTAAGAAGCAACCATATTTCCACCCTCCGTGCCAATAAGCCTGATGACGAGTGACACACATTGTGGTTGGTTGCAGCCTGCAGGAGGCCGACCAGCGGCAAGCTTGCAGCAGCCTTGTAATGAGCATCAATCACCATCTGCTGCGTACCTATCACAGCGATTTTGTATGCATATCAAGGCGGGACAGGTTACTGAGAACCTCAGGGTTGTTCATCTTTCTTTATAGTTTAGAGCTTCTATCAGCCCAAGCAGAAGCCATCGCCTGGCAGTCGTTGCTCGTTTCTTTGTTTTATCCACTGTCCATACCATGCAGTAATCTTCATCTAACAACAATATGGGTCTCTATGCATTGTGTTGACCTCCGCATCGCCTTCTCACCTCCTATTCTTGAGGTGTGCTGAGCAGATGACCAACAACGAGCCCCAGATAACAAATCCAGTTCAACAAAGACGCGCAACGCTAGCCCAGCTCAAATGCATAAGACATGCCCCCACCCCCAGACGTACGTGTGTATAATCCTGGCAACAGCCAAGTCGATCAAGACGAGACAACTCCACCTGTGACAAGTCCTATATCATGCTATCCGGGTATGATCTGAACCTGAATCTCAGATCTTTCCACACTTAGCTCTTGCTCAAAATGCAGTCAAGTGTGGTAAAGGGTAAACATGCTGACAGCCCCTTTCCTTTTGAGGTATGCACAACCAAACGCCGATCCTATGCCGGAAACTGGATAAAAGATGCTCAAGTCATAATGAAACAATATCAGGTATAATCTGCTCGTAACAGGTAGGGAGGTGTGTTTGTTTTGGTTTCGTACTGATTGTTCCTTGTTAGGAATCATCCGTTGCTTTTCTCAAGCTGACGGAGGCGGTGACTATGCACCGTTGGTTTTGGTCGAACCGGATCCCTTGCTGCGGGAATGTAGAGTGCGATACATGTTGCTCAACCGCTTTCCCGTGACGCTCTTGCTTGTATCATCTACGGGCCACAAAGCTGCCAGAAAGTCCCTATCATCAGTGTTAGTTGGGTCCGCCACAAGACGCTGTCCATCATCGTAAGACTTACCAGAAATTGCTCTTGAGACCTTCGTCAGCAGCAGTGGCCGCCAATTTCTCGTCGAGAAAAGTGCCGATAACGACCAGCTCGACCCCAAAGATAGACGCCCGCTCCTTGCTTGACTTGACGTTGTCCTTGGTGGTAGAAAGAATCCTCTCAAAGTTCTCTCGGACCGGTTTGAGTAGAAACCAGATCATGGCGTCGTTGTCCTCAGCTCTCTTATCTTTGTTGTCGCCAATTCGGCGAAGTTCGTCCAGCCTTCGCAGAGCCTTGGCTCGGCGCTCATCCTGAGGATGCGAGTCATGGGCTCGCTCTCGCTCTCGTTCGCGATCACGATCACGATCACGCTCACGATCTTCACGATGTCGATCATGTCGTCTATCATCACGACGGTCATCACGTCGGTCATCTCGGCGGTCTTCCCGACGTTCATCGCGATGACTGTGGCTGAGGCGATGTTTATCATGTCGCCGGTCATCCCGTCGCTCATCCCGTCGTTCATCTCGGCGCTCATCGCGGCGCTCATCACGACGGTCCTCATCATCCCGGTGACGCCGCTTCTCTGATCTCTCCCTGTCCTCTCCATGCTTACTGGATCGACGATGCTCCTCGATGCGGCGGTGCTTGGGGCTACGGCTATCTTCATGAGATAGATGTTTTCGCTTGAAATCCGGTCGCGGGGTTCCACGCTCCTCCGCATGGCTTCGCGATCGGTGCAGGTCACCATGGAGGTGGTCTCTGTCACGGTCGCGAGACTTCTTGCCGTTGTGCGGAGCAGGAGACGCTGTGGCACTCCCACGGTGACCATTGGCAAGTGTCTTTTTGTTGTTACGGTGATGATTCTCTACAGCTCGCTGCACACCACGATCATTAGAGTGCTTCGCTTGCAGGACTGAAAGCAGATACTCTGATCGCCGAACAAGGTGAACAGCACCAGGAGCCTTCATCTTGTCGTTGCCCTTGCTACGTTCCTCTTTCTTCTCCACGCGATGTTCTTCGAGGAAGAGTTTGTCTGTCATGTCCAGATCAGGATCGTCTCGAATTTGGGGCCAGGCGCCAAAACCGTGTCTGTCAATACCGACTAGGAGCATGGCATCTTCCTTAGCACCCCAAGCGCAAGAGTAGCTAGCCGCCTTTGTCGCGTCAGGGAGACGAAATGTGTGCCAGTCATTGTGGCTGCGAATGACTTGTCGGAGAAGCTGAAGCTGCTTCGGACGTTCTATGGCTGTTTCAGCATTGACCTTCTTAAGATCGCCAAAGTCTATCAGGACAGCTTTGCGGTCCTTCTTCGTGAGAGTCTTCCCGAGTCTCTTTTCTTCTTCCACCATCTGAGCATAGTTATCGTCCACCGCCTCCTTGGCTGCCTTGATGAATTCATCAAGGACCGACTTGACGTACTCTGGATCCCTTTCTTTCAGCTTGGCTTCCTTGATAATTTCATCCCCGCGATCATCCATTGAGCCGTAACGGAAGTAAGCCTTTATTAGACTACGTTGTTCCTTATCGTTCAAAGGGCGCTTAGGATCGAGAGGCACGGGCCTTCGGTCATCCTCCTCCTTGTCTTGCTGCTCCTTCTGACGTTTCTTGAGGCGAACATCACGTTCACTCTCTCTGTGGCGGCTCTTGATGGCCGCTCTGCGTGGAGCACTTTCAGCCGCCACCTTGGCAACGTAGGCCTCATGCTGTTTCTTTTCTTCCTCGGCCTTAATTTCGGCGATCTTATCGGCGGGGATAATCTGATCCCAATCAAGGTTGATATCATCCACTTTCACATCAGTAATTTGCATGAAATTGTCCCAGTCGATGCCGCCACTGCTTAGGTTTATCTTGTCGTCGACCTTGGTCTTGGTGACCTCAGCGTTCTCAAGAATCGAGTCAATGTCGAGTTGTTCGAGCCGTTCTTGGTTGCCGCTCTGTTCGAACATCTTAGATGATCGCATCTTGAGAACCATTTGGATATCTTCAGACGAAGACGGGCCTTCAACCCTGAGACCCTTCTTGTTGAGTTCCTCCTTGAAAGCTGCCTTGCCATCGTCGGTGACACCAGCCTGGATGGTTAGGTATTCGAGTAAGAGTTTGTTGCGAGCCCTTTCGAGGACCTCTTCCTCGACAGTCTCCTTGGATACTAGGCGGTAGATGTTTACAGGACGTTTCTGACCGATGCGATGTGCACGAGCCATGGCTTGCAAATCAGCTTGAGGGTTCCAGTCAGAGTCGAAAATAATGACAGTGTCTGCCGTCATGAGGTTGATTCCCAGACCACCTGCACGAGTAGAGAGAAGGAAGCAAAAGTCATCGCTGTCATCAGCGTTGAAGTGGTTGATGGCCATGCGTCGGGGGCCAGCAGCAATAGTACCGTCCAATCTCTGGAACTTGTAGCCTCGCAGGGAGCAGTAGTCGCCAAGAATATCAAGCATCTTAACCATCTGACTGAAGATCAGGACTCGATGGCCATCTTTGTTTAGCTTGGAAAGAAGTTGATCGAGTAACATCATCTTTCCACTGCTGGCAATCAAGCCCTTGATTTGGTCTTCACGGCGGACACTGCCGGCCAGGACCTTCTCCTCAGCACCAGGAAACATGTAAGGATGGTTACTGATCTTCTTCAGCTCCATCATAATATTCAGGAGAGAGTTCTTGTGTCCATTAGTGGCGTCGCAGAGAGCTGTATAGTTTCTGGTCAGGATGTTCTTGTAGTACTCCAACTGTACATCGGAAAGCTCAACGCGGATAATCTTTTCAGTCTTGGGGGGAAGGTCTGACTCGACGGTTTCCTTGGTTCGTCGCAGAATGAAAGGCGCAATGGCCTTGTGAAGTTGTTGCAGTTTCTCTTGTGCATCGCTGGCAGAAAGGGAATCAAGATCTTCGTCAATGTCGACTTTGCCGGGGTTAAGAAAGTCGAGCAGAGCAGAAAGTTCGGCCAAGTTATTTTGAATAGGTGTTCCCGTGATCAGGATCTTGCAAGGAATGCCAAAGCTTACCAGCCGGTTGTATAATTGGGATTCCCGGTTCTTGAGGCGATGAGCCTCATCGACAGCGAGCGTCTGCCATTTGATAGACTGCAGGAATTGCCAATCCTGGAGAATAAACTCGTATGAAGTGACAAGGACATTGAACTTGGGCTTCTTTGGGTTGCCATCTACGAGCAGCTCGTGCTCACGAATGATTTTTCGAGCATCCTCGGGTCCCAGGTAGACAACATAATTGATGTCAGGGGACCAATGGTTGAAAGTGTCGCACCAAGCCGGGATAACACTGAGAGGAGCAACCACGAGTGATGGTCCCTCCTGGCGTCGAGCATTACGGAGCCAGCTGAGGAATGATACTGTCTGTACCGTTTTTCCGAGACCCATTTCATCGGCGAGAATCACGTTATTGCCCTTTGTCCAGTTCAAACATAGGAAGTTGAGGCCCCGAAGCTGGAAGTTGCGGAGTTCGCCGCCTTTGATGAAATCGGGTTGCTCCTCGAGCTTGACCATCCGTGATCTTGTGTCGAGGTTCGTCTCCTTGCGGTCTGACTGCCACGAGCGTGATGCTCGATCAAGGTATTGGTCAATCTGGTCTTGGAACGCGTCGCTGATTTCTGTCGCGACCTCCCATGTGCATTCTTCATACGTGAGGCCCTTCCACTTGACAAGATACTCAGTATCGTCTTCACCGTCTCGTACAGCGACCACTCGCTCGACCTTGGTGTAATCCTCGAATGCTTCCTCGTCTCGCTCGCGGTCAAGGAAAAATTGCTCCTTCGTTTCGGGGGGGATATCATCGCCGACGCGGATGTCCACCTCGTACTCGATCACCTTTCTAAAGTAATTCTCAACTTTACGGTAACCTCGATAATCTCGAATGTCTTGAAACGTCTCCCAGGTGTCATGCAAGTGCGACTTGCCCTGCCACTTGATGAAGTATTCGAAGTCGTTCTTAGTCAACCCATAGGAAATTTCGAATCCGTCTTTGAGCCTATGCCGGACAACTTTTTCTATATACGGTGAATCATCAATGTAGTCGACGGTGTAGGCCATGGGGGCGAGCTCGTCGTCATCATCATCCTCGTCAACGTCGCTCTCTTCGTATGCTCCTTGTTGTACCTGTGCAGCGCGACGACTCGACCAGCGCTTTTCAGCAAGTGCGAGATCTGGCTGTGCCTCGCGTTGCATTCGAGCCTTCTTCTGCAGGCTCTTTGCGCGAGCGCCGCCATATGTGTCGGAGTCAGAATCGGAATCGGCTGTGGAGGCACGTAATGTTGGAGTTCCAATCTTGGATGCTGAGATGACCATGTTAGACCGTGATGGCGGCGAGGGTAGACATTGCGCATAAGAGATCGGCAACTTACAAGGACGGGAGGATTCAACACGTCGCCTTTTGACTGTTCGGCGGTTGACAGGGGGTTCAGAATCCGAATCATCAGATTCGACCTGCATAGGTGAGTCAATGATACATCCTGATACCGAATTGCGATGATGACCTACAATCTTTCGTTGTTCCCGAGGTCGCGTCTATCTTCTTGTCAGCAAGCTTGAAGAGAGTTTGAGTGAAAATTTTTCACAACGTACACTTCTCCTCAACCCATAGAGCTCTGGATTAGCCTTGATATACTCGTCTTCCTCAACAGGAGCTTTGCGCTTGGAGGCTCGATTCGAGTCGGTAGAGCTATCGCGGTCTTCCATCGCGTCTTCGTTCTGTGATGGGAGGCTCTCCTCCATATCGAAGTCTCCGTCATCGGACGCATTGTCTTCGCTGGATTGTTCACTCGCTGACATGTGTGTATTGTCGTGGACAATATTGGAATCGTTGTTTGCCTCGTCTGAGGATGCCGGTGATGGTTGATCGAGTGTGAGATCGGGGGCATCATGCGAGTCGCTATCGGTTGCATGATCTCCTGTATCAAACGACATGCTGATTCCATCAACCGGCGACAAATATCCATTGGAGGGACCCCCCAAAGTAGGGGTGGACATCATGTTGGTGATGATACAGGCTACCTACTGAAAACGCGACGATATTAGCTGATATTCGAGTCTGGCGTGTGCGCTTGAGGGATTAACGGGATGACGCGACTCCGGCGACCCATAAACGACCTCTAGAACGTCTGAATATTAGGGAAACGATAGAGATGAAGTACTTGTCGCATCCCGTGTAAGTTATCGATGGTCGCTTGATGGAAGCACCGAGCTCGCAATTGAGAGAACCAGGTGACTCGGGTGCGGCGTATCGGGTCACAGGAGGGTCCAGACGAACGTGGAGCATCGAATCCATCAACTTTCGTCGAAATATTGCGTATATAATACTCTTGAGGAAGCAATATCGTGATGGGCAAGGCCGAGGCCGAGGTGGGATCGACGATGGGCGACAGGCCAGCAAGCCAGGAGCGCGGCAGAGACAAGAAGGAGCAGGAAGGGTATGGGAAACTCACAAGTCATTAAAGTATAACATGCAGACCAAAGCCAACATCTAGATACTATCGGCTGCCTGTCGGGAAGTGTTTGGGGGTATCGGGGGCCCGGTGACGTGGGTAGGGGACGGGAGAATCAATTTGGTGGAGAGGCAGGAACCTGAAGATTTGGATTGATTGCACGGGGTGAGAGGCTGACAGCGCCTGAGAGGTGGAGTGTGCGTCACGTGATCTTCAGCCACCAATCCGACGCGAGACCAGTACCCAAATGATTGCGAGTTTACCTTGTACCTTGGTCGATAAGTTAGTACACACGATATAAGGCAGAGCTTTGAATAGTTACCTGGTTGTTTCTTTTGAGCTTGCATCAATATTTATATGCCCGCTTCTGACTTTATGGGTTTGAAGTTAGATCTATTTCTCGATGTCTATTGTTTTTCTGTTGCGTGTATGCCCACGGAGTAGTAGCCAATGAGCGTGACAGACTAGCGCCACTACCCTGTATTCAACCAAGGACCCTATTGTTCTTATTGAGATATTGATTGTAGTGGAAGGATGAATAGACCATTGCCTGAGGCCAAGGTGTGAGTCCGGGGTACTAGGTGATGTCTACTAGGTAGAGCCTAGGTGGTAAATAAATTGGTGCTTCTGTTGATTGTTCTACTTTTGGTCTCCCAATCGGCGTTGAGAATGTAAAAGGATCAAAGGCAGATCGCACAACCGATCTAGCCTTTCTCCCTGGGTACATATACCGACATACATTCAAAGATAACATTACACAAGTGCGATGTTATTTGCCTTCAACGCACTCTATTTACTGAAATAGTATCGTACTAAATTTATGTTTTGGTCGATAATGCTTGTCATGTGGCGCAGAGGGCGGATTGGCCAACGTTTAATTTTAAATTTGTTCCCTTGAACTTATAATAGGGCGGTATTGTGTGTAATAGGAAATTCGGATAATACACTTTAACTCTGATATGATATAATCCAATATGGAGGACATGTTTGTTGGCACAGAGTGGTGTGTTAGGTACTTAAGGTACCGAATTATTCACCTGATGTATTGACATCTTGAAAACCCCGAGGTAGGAGTCACATCAGGGGATGGTAAAAGCTTAAGAAGGGGGAACACATCAGTTAGTTTGATAACTTTGAATAAAACTCCTTACTGCCCAGTGCTTGATTAAGGTACTATAGTTATTCGGCGACTCAGAGAGGCATCGGTACTGAATCACGAAGTCACTTTAGTCGTTGAAGGACAATATGTTAAATGGATGGCTGCAGCAACAACATCATGCAAGGTTACACTCACATTTACTGTTAGACCTGAGTACCTATAGTAGTTTACTCGACACGCGAACCTCTTAATTTAGTAGGTCCACAGCCCCCCCGCCAAACCTATGACAGGGCCTGAAAATTGGATTACCACCCGCACAACCCAGAGCCTGACCTTGGAACTTCTTTTAACCTTGATTTCTCCCTCCGATTTTCTTTCTCACCTTGTATCCCGCTGAACAAAGAGCATCGGCGAGCGCCAGCGACTCACTGTATCTTGCGCGCTCGAGATCCCTTGGTCGTCGACCTCCGCCTCTCTCTTCTCACCCACGAAACAAATTTTACCCCACCAAAATCACTTTTGAAGCGACGTTTGCTACATCACCACAACAATGTCGGACAAGCTCACCCGGTACGTCTATGCGATCGGCACGAAGCACATACACAATGCAGAGGAAGAAAAAGACAAAGGAGAACAAGAGGCGCTGACATGAAATCAACAGTATCGCCATCGTCAACAGCGACAAGGTCCGTTTTTAGCATGATCACCAGCATCAGCATCACCATTGCCCCGCCAAACATTTTCTGACCCCTCCTTTTAGTGTCGCCCTCGAAAATGTCGACAAGAGTGCAAAAAGTCTTGCCCCGTCGTTCGCAGCGGAAAACTCTGTATTGAGGTCCAGCCGGACTCTAAGCTCGCATTCATCTCCGAGTCCCTCTGTATCGGTTGCGGTATCTGCCCCAAGAAGTGCCCTTTTGACGCCATCACCATCATCAACTTGCCCACCAACCTCGAAAGCCAGGTCACCCACCGATATGGACCCAACAGTTTCAAGCTGCACCGTCTGCCCATGCCCCGACCCGGCCAGGTTCTTGGTTTGGTCGGAACAAACGGTATCGGAAAGAGTACTGCTCTGAAGATTCTCAGTGGAAAGCTCAAGCCCAACTTGGGCCGACACGACAACCCTCCTGATTGGGAGGACGTTATCAAGCACTTTCGTGGTTCCGAGCTTCAGAGTATGTAGCTGCCTCAAGCCTGCGAGGAGCCGAGTTGTTACTGACTTGCAACCAGACTACTTCACCAAGCTTCTCGAAGATGACCTCAAGGCAGTTGTCAAGCCTCAGTACGTCGACCAGATCCCCAGGGCGGTCAGGGGCCCCAACAAGACTGTCCGATTCCTTATCGAGAGTCGTGCCTCGCTTGGAAACACGGAGCAAGTTGCCAATGTTCTCGAGCTGAACCACATCATGGACCGAGATATTAACCACCTTTCTGGTGGTGAGCTTCAGCGTTTCGCTATTGGAACTGTCTCGGTTCAGGCTGCCGACGTCTACATGTTCGATGAGCCAAGTTCATACCTTGATGTCAAGCAGCGTCTTAGTGCTGCCTCGATCATCCGCTCCCTCCTCCGTGACAATGGCTATATCATTGTTGTCGAGCACGACCTGTCTGTTTTGGATTATCTCTCCGACTATATCTGTGTTCTGTACGGAAAGCCCGCCGTCTATGGTGTCGTCACCCTCCCGCACTCCGTCCGTGAAGGTATCAACATCTTCCTCGACGGTCACATCCCGACTGAGAACTTGCGATTCCGAGACGAGTCTTTGACCTTCCGTATCGCGGAGACTACCGATGATTTCGCTATCGACAAATCTCGTGCCTTTACCTACCCTAAGATGGAGAAGACTCTCGGCAGCTTCAAGCTGAACATCGAGGCTGGTGACTTCACCGACTCCGAGATCATCGTCATGATGGGTGAGAACGGTACCGGAAAGACCACATTCTGCCGCCTCTTGGCTGGAGCCCTCAAGCCTGATAGTCAGAAAAGCGTCCCCGAGATGCGAATCAGCATGAAGCCTCAGACTATCACCCCCAAGTTCGATGGCACTGTCCGCCAGCTTTTCTTCAAGAAGATTAAGCAGTCTTTCCTGTCCCCGCAGTTTCAGACTGACGTCGTTAAGCCTCTCAAGCTCGACGACTTCATTGATCAGGAAGTCAAGAACCTTTCCGGTGGTGAATTGCAGCGTGTTGCCATCGTCCTTGCCCTGGGTATCCCTGCGGACATTTATCTGATCGATGAGCCGTCGGCCTACCTTGACTCTGAGCAGCGTATTATTGCCTCACGAGTCATCAAGCGATTCATCATGCATTCCAAGAAGACTGCTTTCATTGTTGAACACGATTTCATCATGGCCACGTACCTTGCCGACCGTGTCATTGTATTCGATGGACAGCCTGGTATTGACGCTCATGCCAACAAGCCCGAATCACTCCTTACCGGCTGCAACACCTTCTTGAAGAACCTCGACGTCACTTTCCGCCGGGATCCCACCAACTACCGCCCCCGTATCAATAAGAGCGGATCTCAGCTCGACCAGGAGCAGAAGATGAGTGGTAACTTCGTGAGTTCAAACGCTGTATTTGCACAAGATGATTATTCACTAACATGTTTTTGCAGTTCTTCTTGGAGGAGACCCCTGATAAGAGCTAAAGGCGTCCATAATGAGATTTTCCCTTCTCTCGATGGTGCATCTCACGGCGTTCGGGGCGTTCAAAATGGGAATGGGCAAAAGCAGCGAGTCTTGGGAATAGATGATGACCGCAGCGTCAGCGAGGATGACGACCCAGATGAATAACGACGGCGACGGCAGAGTGTCTCCTCTTGTCTGGTCCTGCGAAGCCTTTGTTTTTATCTAGCTTTCGGTCTTGACGGGAACTCGAGGTGTTTGGAATTCTCGAAAACTTCTCCGTCAACGGCAAATGGCTTGCTTCGTAGATTGAGGGACAATTGATGTATTAAGATCTCTGCCGTCTACGGTTTCCCACCTCGCGGGAAACAATTGACATAATCGGAACGGCCGTTAGTTAGTCTTGAAATAGTTTCAATTACACAGACATTGGATCGCATAGAAAAAGCGACGAATTAAAACATTAAAACGAGGTCAACAATCCTTACTATTTCTGAACCTTGTACACGCCCATCTGGAGGGTCGACTACTATCTCAACAAATTCACAAGCAATAAACCTAGACTAATATAAGAAGCGGGAAAGACACATACTGGTCAAAAGACTGCTTCTGGAAGCAATGTACTCGCCATGTCTCCACTGTTGTGGTACTGGGCGGCCGTGGCGACAAGGGGCCGCAAGCCTGTACTCATGTGTCATCTCGCCGGACGGACCTTGCCAGGGGATTTGACAATGCCGGTACGTACTGAGAAAGAGT